CCCGGTGGCCCCTCAAGGCCCCAGCGAGCCCCGCCTGCTCCCTGCCTTGGGTTTGGTCTTAGATTCTCACCTGTAAGGGACTTGCGGCATTTGCCTCTGGGCCCTGCTCTCTCACTTCTGAAGGTGGCGGGTGAGGGGGTAGGAAAGGGAACGGGACCCTCCTGGGTGTGGTCAGGAAGGGCCAAGAGCACAGGTAAGACTGGCCAGAGGTGGAGACAGCTGGACGCTAGAGGGACACATGGGAGAATGTTCTGGAAGACCCAGGGATAGGAGGGTGACCGCCAAGGTCTGTCACTGGGTTCCATCAGCTCTTCAAGAATCCTCCGGAAACCCTGCTGGGGAGGAAAGGCTTACGCTTACTGCTTTTCCTGCTATTTTGTACTTTAAGATTCTCATTTTGTTAATTAACCTGATTTATTCATGCTGTAAACACAAATCAAGACATCACACCTTACCCCATGAACTTATAAAACTATTGTCTATTAAAAATTAAACCAATTTACAATTTTTAATAAGGTCCTTGTTTTCTGTCACCATCGTCCTCTAAATTCGATGGCTTCTCTACCATTTCTGCATTTTAGGATTTTTTCACTGCTCTTCATGTGCCAGGAAGCCAGAACGGGTTGCAAAAGAAGAAGAAAATTGTGTAATACTGAAAGACTCGGAACCAGTTACAGCCGAATTTTTGCATTCGTGGGTCCTTGCAGTGTGAGACCCCGTGCCCCCCGGGCTGCAGCTGCCTGCTGTGATGGGGACACGGGCAGGTTCAGGGCTGCCAGGCAGGCTGAGCCATGGACGACCCCAACACCAGGAGGCTCCGAGTTCACAGTCTGAGGAAGCTGGCCCGGCCTGGGTGCGGGCTGGAGGGTTCCTTGCAGCAGAGTGGAGGGTAGAGAAGTCCCTCCACAGTGAAGCAATCTCAGAGGCCGTCACAGAGCTGACTCCTGCACCCCAACAGCTCACAGCTACACAGCGGCAGAAAACTCAGGGAGGAGCTCTGAGCCTCGTGTTGAATATCAATAAAAACCAAGAAAGAACAATTCCAAGGACCCACGTATGAGAAATGTCTCTGCCCAGGAGCATGTCCCTTTCCAACACAAAGCCAGCCCAGGCCAGCAGGGGGCCAGGCCTGGCATTGGACAGGACAAGCCCGTACCCTGTCGGGAATGTCCTCTGTCCCCAAAGTGTGCCAACAGGCTTTTATTTTGGAACTAGACAAGTATATACTAAAGTCCGTAAGGAAAATAAAAGTGTAAAACTAACTTGGAAAACGCTAAAGAGGTGGGGTTCCGGGAGGTGCCTGGCACCCACACAGGGGAGACCCAAGGCACCCGAGGTCCACTGAGCAGCTATCCACAGAGCAGATGGAGGTCACAGGTCCAGCCAAGGACGCAGCCCGCACCCAGCCCTGAGGTGTCCTTGGACTAATCTCCCCCTGCGTGACTGTCTCCAGACCTCCCCTCAGCATGTCCCCCCACCTCCACTCATCGGCACCCGCTTGGACCAGTGGCCCTGGGCCGAGGTCCCCGTGGTCCCCGTTCCCGCTCTTGCTTTACACAGTCAACCCCCAGGGATTCCCGGACCTGGGCAGGCGTGGAGATGGATGCTGCCATCGAGGGCAGGGAGGCCGGGCACCGTGGACAGGGCTCTCTTGGCTCCGGGGCGTTTGGAAGGCAGCTGGAGGACTGGGCTGCGAGGGCAGAAGTGGTTCCTGAGAAAGGGGACGTGTGTCCTTCAGAGGCCGATGTGCTGGGCAGAGCTGCTGGGCTTCCCCAGAAACCTTCGGTGTTGAAACTCAGGCTGGGGTGGCGGGTGTCCACCCACGGCCTCCGCTCAGCCGGGGGCGCCTCGGGCAGGCGGGGAAGTCCGAGTGTGCCCAGGACGAAGGAGGACACGGCGTCGCGTCCTTGTGAGCGTCCTGGACTCTTAGGAGGAGCCCTGGGTCTCCCTGTTGTAATTTACAGCCCCTCATTAGTCCCCTCGCAGGGGTGTGGCTCTTCATCACTTGTTAGTAATTATCTAAAATTAATCATTTGTCCCAAAAATCCCAGATTCAGTTACAAGGACTGACCCAAGGTGCAGTGAGACCAGGGACCGGGACCTCACAGAGCGATTAGTGGGGGTCACAGGCAGAAGCGAGGTCCTGGGCCGTGGCCCGACCAGAGGATCCCTGTGCCTTGGTCAGTGGCGGGGCTTCTACAGTGGCCAGGACAGTGGCTCATCCAAGCCGGACAGCACCTGGCTTTCCTCGGTGGCTGGTGCTGGTTTCCTGAGCCCTGGGGTGGGAGACTGGGCGGAAGGAAAGGCAGGAGGAGGCCCTGGGAAGGCCCCGCCCTGCAGAGCAGTTGGACGAGACCACTGCTGTCGTGAGGGACGGCTGGACCCCTCCCACTCCGCTCACCTGTGTGCAGAGGCTGGAACCCTGCGCCGGGCAGGGCTGCCAGTCAGTGTGGTTCCCGCTGAGGCCTGCTCTGAGGGGACTCGGTCACTGGGGGATGGCGGGCCCCAGCCCCAGGGCTGCTGAGGTGGGGCCCAGTTTCTGTGGTCCTTGAGCAAGGGCTCCCGGTGTCAGTAGCACCTCCTCTGTCCCTCCTCAGTCGGTCACTCTGCAGCCCTGACCCCCGCCCCCCGCAGGACGACTTCCTGCTACTGCACGGGCGTCTCTGTCTCTTCTTGGACCCGGGGCCTCTACCCTGAACCAGACCCGGGCCATCGGTGACTTCCTATTTTGAGGTCCTGCTAAGTTGCTCAGGGCCCCTCTACGTGGCCCAGGCTGGCCTCAAACTTGAGGTCCTCTTGCCTCAGCTGGAGTCGCTGGGATTACAGGAGTGGCCAGGACACCCTGTGGTCCACCAGGCTGATGACGTGCTGGCTGGACCTCCAGGAGGGCACAGTCACTCTAGGTGGTTCAGAGGACGACGTGGGCAAGACGTCACCCCCTGCCGGTTTTTGCCCCTGACCCAGCTCCTAGGAACACAGCTTCGCGTTTCCCATCCCTGTGGGGACACGCGCTCCGTCAGCTCTCCTACAGGAAGGACGTGCCCAGGCCGCGTTGGGGGTCTGTCCCAGCCCCTCCTTGAGTGTCTGAAATGCCGAGGCTTCAGCTCCCACTGGTGGGACTCAGAGCAAGAGAAGACTCGGCAACTGTGCAGCTGCAGAAAGCACGGCCAAGGGCCTGGCAGAGGCACGGCAATGGACACCTGCGACAGACATGGCGTCGGCAGGAGCTGAGGAACCACAGCCCAGGTGTTGGGGTGTCAGAGCTGCACGGTGCTGGTGCCGTATCTGCAGAGCCCTGGTCTTTCTCTGGGAAACACCTTCTGGATTCCTACTGGGCCCCAGGAGAGACTGACCACTGGGCCATCCGTTGCCCCGTCATCAGGCCCCTCCTGAGCTGGGCATTGCCTGACCAGCGCCCAGAGGCCTCCATGGATCACGCTGAAGCAGCTCATCCAACACGTGGCTCAATAGGTTCCTGAAGGCACGGGAGGACAGAATGGCGAGCACCCAAAGTGTCCACTCCCCAGTATCAGAACTGTGACTGCCTTATCTTATGGGCAGTGATGGCCCGAGGGGGCCCCACACAACCCCAAGTCCTGATAAGTAGAAGAAGCAGGCAGAGGTCAGCACGAGAGACGGACCGAACTGGAGCAGAGGTCAGCGTGGCTGCGGGCTTTGAGGAGGAAGGGGATGCAGAGGCCCAGGATCAGGAAGTGGAGAAGCCTGGAGAGGACCTCGAGCAGAGCTGGCCACAGGCCGCAGAGGGCCACAGCCCACACAGGGCCACGGGCCACAGAGGGCTTGACGTAAGCCAGGGCCACCTGGGACTCAAGATGACCTGGGCTGTGAGACAGTGAACCCCACATGTGATTGGAGCAATGTCATCGTGCACAGCAGGGGCTGCTGGGACTATTCCCGCAGGCACACAGCGTGACTCAATGTCAGTCACAGTCCTTGGCCCCTCCCCCACGGACTTCCCCAACACGAGCTTCCCCGAAACTCCTCTCCCCTTTTCCTCTCCGGCTTCCACATGGGAGAGACCCTAGGCTTCCTGGTCTGTCCATGTCACTGGAATCTGTATTCTTAATGCCACCATTGTCCCCACAGAAACAGAAAGCTGATGTGCTGCCATCTGAGAGCTGGGACCATCCGTGCTCTAAAACTGGGGTCCGACCCCTCCTTTTCTGCGATGTGCAATGCAAGAAATGTGTGTCCACTCCTGGGTGGACAGGAGCTCAGCCAGCAGCCAGCTCTCAGGGGACCCCCACACCCATCTGAGCTGCCTGCAGGGAGCCCAGGCCCACCCCACCCCCGTCCTGGGGACAAGAGCCAGGCTCTGGGAGGGCAGTTCCCCTTCCTGTGGGCAGCTAATGTGACACCCCCACACAGGCAGAACCCGGCCTCCAAGTGGCCACACCCTGTGTGTGTCTGTCCTCCAGCTCTGTGACCTCCTCCATCTGGACCCTGGGACCACGGGAGGACACACCATGACCCCCACCCTCACGGCCCTGCTCTGCCTGGGTGAGATGTGAAGGAGGGAGGGGACACCCTGTTCTG